CAGCACCGCCCAGGCCCGCCATGGCGCCGGCACGGGGCGGGGAGGAGCGGCGAGGGAGGGACGGAGGGACCGGCACCGCCCCCCTCACCGAGCCCGCCCCGCCGCGGGTGCGCCACCCCATCCCGGTGCGCGACCCTTTGCTGGGTGTGCGACAGCCCTGCCAGCCCGTGTGACCCACGTCCCGCCTTCGCATTCTCCCTGCCGGCTGTGCGAGTCCYGCTCCAGCCGTGCGACAGCTCTCACCAGGTGTCCAACAACTCCTGCCAGGTGTGCGACCTCCGTTCCAGCTTTGCAACAACCTYCCGGCTCTGCCGGCTGTGYGAGTCCTGCTCCAGCCGTGCTCCAGCCCTCAGCACGTGTGCAACAACCCCACCAGGTGTGCAATAACCCCTCCCCGGAGCGCGTCCATCTGGTGGGGTGACAGCCCCCGCCAGCTGTGTGTCCAACCTTCCAGCTCTACACACCCCCTGGGTGTGCAAACCTCTGGTCAGGTGTGCAATGCTCACCTCTGCCCTCTCCATGGGCCYTGCAAGGACCCTGCCACGTGTCCAACAAACCCTTCCAAACATGCACAACCCCTTCCAGGTATCCAACAACCTCTTCCAAATGTGCACAAGCCCTTCCACGTGTTCAACAACCCCTTCCAAATACGCACAACCCCTTCTAACATGCACAACCCCTTCCAGGTGTCCAACAACCCCTTCCAAAAGTGCACAACCCATTCCAAATGTGCACAACCCATTCCAAATGTGCACTATTTCCAGGTGTTCAACAACCCATTCCAAATGTGCACAACCCATTCCAAATGTGCACAACCCATTCCAAATGTGCACAACCCATTCCAAATGTGCACAACCCATTCCAAAAGTGCACAACCCATTCCAAATGTGCACAACTACTTCCAGGTGTTCAACAACCCATTCCAAATGTGCACAACCCATTCCAAAAGTGCACAACCCATTCCAAAAGTGCACAACCCATTCCAAATGTGCACAACTACTTCCAGGTGTTCAACAACCCATTCCAAATGTGTACAACCCATTCCAGGTGTTCAACAACTGCTTCCAGGTGGTACATTATCCCCTCTCTTCTCACAGCCTCCACGTCCCACTGGCCCTCTCTGTCACCAGCTTCATGTACCCTTGTGTCTGGGGGTGTCAGGGAATTTCCCCTGCAGGAACACCCTCCACAGTGTCCGAGGTTGGGAAAAGGCTCCTGGATAAATCAGGGAATGCTGGTGACCGGCCAGCCCCGCTTCCTGGGAAACCCCCATGGACAGAGACACTCACACCTGCACCTTCAGCTCTCAGCAGGAAATGATTTTTAAAAAACTGTATAGAAATCATCACTCTCCATGATTCTTTGCTTCCAGAGCCTGGCATCAGCTCTACAATCCCACTCCCATCTCCRGAATCAGCGGAACCTCCGCTCATCCCACACGTATCGCTTTCCCGCTGGAACCTTGCGGAAGAACAGGCTGTTCCCTCGGCTCATGTTGCCCTGGAAAGGGAAAATGACCATGGATGGGCCACACGAGGTGCAGGGTGGCCCRTCCAAACCCCATAGGGCTCCCCCTGGTTCCTGCCCATGTTGCAGTGTATCTCAGTGCATCCCAGCTCCAGCACTCACCTCCCTGTGCAGCTGGCTCCAGCAATCCAGCCAGGAGGAGTAGGTGGGTGCGTAGGGCAGGAGACCCCCGGCCAACCTGGGCAAGAGAGGAAAGACCCACAGGGAATCATTCCCACAGGGAATCAATCATTCCCACCATGGCTCCACACCGGCTTGAACCCCAAAACGACCCTTTCCCACTTCAACCAAGGARGGATCAAGTCTGTGGAGTGCTGGAAGCACCTTTTCAATCTGGCAATTTTGGAAAAGCGGTACCAGGAGCTGATCTGGGGTGGAGGGATGCAGATGTCGGTGGGATTRGGGACTCACCCGCAGTTGTTCACGGCCATCAGGTTGGAGACCAGGACGAAGGGGTAGGTCAGCATGCTGGCGAAAAACTGCAGSAAAAACAGGGATCAGTGGCCTGCTCCCTCTTCCCTCCCTGAAGAGAACCCCTGAGAGTTTCACCCTGGGGAGGGAGCCCACTCCTGCCACCTCCACAGGGTCACACGTGTCCTCCACRGAGCATCCCTTGGCCTGTGAGGGCTGATCCCACCCCAGCAGGATTCCAGGAACACACCATTCCCTTTGGAAAGGATCCACTTCCCACCTGTGCCTGTACTCACCCCAGTGACCGCCTGGGAGTAGCTCTTCATCTCAGTCATGGTGGAGACCTGCAGGAGGAGCAACAGCACCTAAATCCCCCCCAAAGCGGAGTTGTGGCCCCAGAACACCCCTGGAGGTCCCCGCCATGAACTCCTCGCCCCCCAGATCCCAGAGCAGAGCCTACCCCRTTCTCCAGGGCGTATGTGTTGATGAGGTAGGCCAGCATGTTGCACAGCCACAGGGAGAGGATGTCCCCGAGGAGCCGCGGGATGAGGCCGCTGCAAGGGAACAAACAGTGGGAAYGTGGGCTGGGGGATGGGATCCGGCCGTGTGGAGAGCTGGCAACAGTTTGGGACGGGTTTGGGGGAGGGGGGAGGCTGTTTCCACAGCAGCTGGATGTCAACAGCCATCCCTGGGAGCTYGGGTGAATGATCCAGAGCTGCTGGAGGGATCCAAGATACTCCTGAGGAGGGCTCAGGACCTTTCCAACAATGTCACCCCCGCCRTGCCCCTCCCTCCCTGCCCAGCACTCACGCGAAGAATCCCAGGATTCCCTCTTCCCGGTAGATTGTGGTGAAGGCGCTTAGTGTCCCACTAGCACAGGGAGGAAGAGGAGGGACAATGTCAGTGGGATCCCAGAATCCCAAACCCCCCCSAGCCCCCAGAGCCCCCRGGCCATACCTGTACTTGGTCTCACGGCCGATGAACTGCACCATGCAGCGCAGGGTGATCACTGCGGGGACACGGGAATGACATGGCAGTGACACCAGAGTGACAGGAGGCACCTGGCACTGCCCTCCTGGTCCCCTGGGATGGGGGGACACCTACCATGGAAGGGGTGGGTGATAAGGGTGGCGGCAGAGCGAGCAACCATCTCCCGGGAGGTCTGGGGACAAACGGAGTGTCACCGGGAGGGGACAGGGATGTGACATCCCAGCCCTTTCCTCCTCCTCCTCCTCCTCCGCCTCCTCCTCCTCCTCCTCCTCCTCCTCACCTCCTTGAGCACCTGCTCCAGTGAGGACACCGGCTCCTTCTTGCTGGCTCCAGGCTGGAGGGGGAAGGAGGAGTCAGGTGGGAACAGCCCCCCAGAGAGGGGACCTGTCCCCAGGGTGGTGACAGAAGCTCCTGGCCCACCAGAGCACTCTGGATGCAGGGCTGGGGCTGCCTGAGACCTGTGGGGTGTGGGGAGAAGGGAGGGAGGAAAGGAGGGGAGGAGGAAAGGAAGGAGGGAAGAAAAGGAGGGAAAAAGAAGGAGGAAGGAAAGGAGGAGGGAGGATGGAGAGAAGGAAAACAGAATGAAGAGGGAAGGAGAGAGAGAGAAGAGGAGGGGGGGGAAAAGGAGAGAAAGAAGGGAGGAATAGAACAGAGAAATGGAAAGAGGGAGGAAGGAGAAGAGAGGGATGTAGGAACAGAGAGAAGGGAAGGGAAGAGAAGGAAGGGAAGGGAAGGGAAGGGAAGGGAAGGGAAGGGAAGGGAAGGATTCCCTGTGAGGAGCACCTCTGCACCCACCTCAGGCTGCTCAGCCTCCTGGTACCGCTGTGGAGCAAAGGGCAGGGTCAGCGCAGAGTCAGCACAGCGAGGGGAGCCAGAGGGGTCCGGTACGCCCCGGTCCCGGCGGCAGAACCCCCGGCTCCCGCAGCGCCCCGGCGCCCCGCCCGTGCCGGTACCTGCAGCACTTTGCTGTGCACCACGGTGCCGATGGCGCTGGAGCAGAGGCGGGGGGCGAGGCCTTTGAAGAGTCCCGCTCTCCCGTCCACCTTCACGATGTGCTTGGCTGGGGACAGCAGGGATCGTCAGCCCCGCGGGGACCCCACAGCGGCACCGGGACGGCACCGGGGCGGCCCCGCAGGGACGGACTCACCGTAAGAGAAGAGGCCGGGCAGCTGRTATACCTGGCGGCCGAAGATGTTCCTCCCCAGAGTGGGCGGCAGCGGCTCGTAGCCCACCTGCGGCGGGGACGGGCAGGCTGTACACCCCTCGCGGCCGGTACCGAGCCCGTTACCCGCCTCCCAACCCCGCCATCCCCGCCCTTACCTGCACCAGCACCTTAACGTACATGAGCGGCTGCGAGAGCACGGTGAGCCCCGAGCCCAGCAGCACCTGAGAAGCCGCGTCCGCCATGGTGCCGCCCCGGCGTCACGGCACAGAAGGACACGGCCACGGCCGCCGCCGCTTCCGCTTCCGTCTCCCCGGTACTTCCGGCGCCGCCGTGACGCGCTTCCGCCCGCTGGGGGGTGCCCTGGGAGCGCAGCGGCTGCCATGGAAACGTCGCGGCGGTGTTGCCATGGCAACGGGGCCTGCGGGGCTGGGGGTGCCCACGGGGCCTGAGGGGACACCGTGGATTCGGAGGGGACAGCGTGTTCGCAGGGCTCAGGAGACACCACGGTGGCCGAGGTAAAGTGACACCACATCCCTAGAGCCCAAGGTTAGGCTCCATGGAGG